ATATCACTTTAACCAAAATAATAGGTTGCAAATCTTTGTTTTTTTACCATGGTTTGGGTTTTCTGTTTTGAAAATGAACTATAGGTGGATACAATAAATATATTTCATATTTGACACACATTAACTGCAGTAATGTAATTAAATTAGGAAAAGCTAATTTTAATGGAGGCATACTGGTGCTGATGTTGAAGAGGACATATTTTGAAGTATGGATGCTCTACAGTGTAATGTGAGTAGGGTTAACACCAGTGATGCATCAACACATATCTAAAGAACAGGAAACAATAGTTTCATCAACATCAACACAATGTTATCAGTCAGTGCAAGAATGTACTTTCCAGCCTAGTGAATCACTTGATAGATGTGACCACTCTGGAAGTGATGATATCATAATGATTTAGTAAATACACGTCTGATGACATGCAAAACAGTTTACTCATGTCAGTTATCTATTTGTTCATTCAGAAGATGCTGTGAGAGAAGTGGCCAGGCAGTTCTTGGAAACTTCCTCTAACCTAACAATGTATTGCATACCAAAATATTTATTGTACATTACAGTAGCAGTTATGAGATGTTTAAAGTTAGCACTGTAACTACCATGACATTAAATACATACAAGAGATCAAGTCGATATCGAAGACAAAACTCATGGGCGTCCTTCTCAGACAAGGAAAGTACTAGGTGGTAAACATTTCACAAACCTGACAAATTCTAACTGAGTGTATGATGAAAAAATGGAAAAGCAAAAGTTACCTTTAGTGAAAACCGAATGTGAAAGATTCAGTAGACTTGTGATTGGCTAGATTTTGATGCCAGAAAGTACCAATCCCACCCCACTTCTTCTTGGATAAAGCACCAACCTAAATGCCTTACTTCCAGTGGGATTGCACTTTTAAGATACAGCAGAATCTTTGGAATTGAACGCCATGTGCAAGATTAAACATTCTGTAGCTGTCATTTCAGTGCAGATCACAAGTATACATCTTGTAGCCATCTTCCCTCTCCTCCTTGGGAGCACTATAGAATTGGGACCACTTCCCTAAGACGTGAAAGCCCACTCCCTAGACTTCCATCACCAAGTCACAGGACCCACAGCTGAGGGACAGGAGGCAAGATGCCTCCATGAGTATACCCGCTTCATCCCAGTGTCCCTTGTAAAGTCATGCCCAGCCAGGCATGCTCCAAGAATGCAAATGTGTTCCCAGGTTTCCATTATTAATCACATATGAAGACTCCTTATTTGTCAGGAATGCCACCTTAAAAGGTAACATTAAAAGAATAACGGGTATTATTGGGAAGCAGAACGGCAAGTTTCTTGGAAGGAGACTTTTTAACCACTTGAAGACCGGCATTTTAAATCCCATTCCTGCCCAGACCATTTTTCAGTTTCCAGAGCTGTCACATTTTGAATGCAATTATTCATTCATGCAACACTGTTCCCAAATGCATTTTATATCATTTTTGAGACAGACAGAGCTTTCTTTTGGTGATTTCTCTTATAAAACATTGCATATAAATAATCTTTTTTTTTAACAAATTTAGGTCATGATGTCTTTTGCTACATTTCTTTGTTAAAAATATCAGTGTCTGAATGAAAGTTATAGAGTCTACAAACCATGGTATATATATTTGAAAACCGATCAGTGCTAATGTTGTGACTTCTTATCTCTTTCCTGAGGCCCTAAAATGCCAGAACAGTACAAATACCACCAAAATGACCCCTTTATAGAAAGTAGACAGTCCAAAGTATTTAGTAAGAGGCATTGTGATTTTATTGAAGTTGCAATATTTTGCCACAATTCTTTGGAATATGATGACAGTAAATAATTTGTTTTTTCACAGATGTTTAGTGCATCCCTGTGCAGGCAGTCCAGTTGATGTCTACTGGGTCACAGCAGCTGCTCAGACACAGCCTCTGCTCCCAATTTGACATCTGTGTGAGTGCAGGTGTATGGCCCTAAGTGCAGACAGTGTGAGTTTGGGGACAGGCACCCTCACCCTCACCCTTGCATTGGGTACACACTGATAGGCCCCGTGTCACAATGCCTTATGGTGACACTGGGACTGGTGTAGCATTGATCAGGAACACTATGACTGGTTGCACTGGTTGTGGTGACATTGGCACTGGTGTGGTAGCAGTCAGAAACACTGTTGAAAGCTTACACTGGTCTGGTGACATTGGAACTTGCTTGGCAGTGGGAAAGAACACTGTTGCTGGCTTACACTGGTCTGGTCACTCTAGGACTGCTATGGTGGCAATCAGGAACACTGTCCCTGGCTGCAGTGGTCTGGTGTGGCAGCAATCAGGAACACTGTTGCCAGCTTACACTGGTCTGGGGACACCCTGAGTGGTGTGGTGGTGATCAGGAACACTGTAACTGGTTGTACTATAAGGCCTTGTTCACATGGGGCATATCCATGCGGATACATCCTTGCGGGTGTGGGTACATATCCCCATACTCGCCTACAGATGGGGCAATACACCCACACCCGCACAGAAGTCAAATTGGGAGCAGTGACTGTGTCCAGGTAAATATTGCCCTCGCTTGGAGTAAGATATGCTCCATCTGAAGGAGGCCTTATGATGACACTGGGACTGGTGTAGCAGTCATCAGGGACACTGTGACAGGCTGCACTGCTGTGGTGACAATGTATAAAAAAAAAAATGGATCACTGTCCCCATGTCCCCAAAACAGTGCAGTGTCACTATGGTGACAATGTACAGCTGTGCCTACTGATCAGAGGCACTGGCTGGCTGCGCTTACATACAGTGTCATCAGGGAAATCATCCAGTGTCTCTGATCACTATCCACAGCAGTACAATGTTGCCATAGTGACACTGCTTTGGTGACAGTGATCTTTTATTTTTATACTCTCTGAGTGTTTGCTTCAGTGTCGAGCACTGTACTAACCATTCTTTAACTTTTCAAAGGCTGGATCATGATTGTGATTTCATTGGCCCTATAGCCTCATCTGTGATTTGCTATAGATCACGCATGAGCAGAGGGAGGACATACAGGTATGCCCTCCCAAATCCAGGAAGCCACCATCCAGCCATTTATATGCAATGGCCGGGTGGGAGGCAGTTAAAAAGAGAATGCTGACTTATTCAACAACCAATAAATAAGTTGAACTCTGGAATTAATTATATTTTTTAAATTCTGGTGCATCTGATGAGGTATATGGCACTTTAAGGAAAATACATAATTAATATTTACACTTTCATTCATGTCAGAAAGTGTAGCTTTTACTATACTTGTGGTTTGTCCACCCTCCTCTCCCCTTGTCATTCTCAAACCAAAGTGTAACTATTTAAAAAAAATACAGTTTTCCTTAACGTGGAGCCGAACTGTATCTGAGCACCACAAACTAGAAAGGCTATTTCATTCGTCTTTAAAATTCAAAGCAAACTCATCCAACCATCCATCCATGTCTCTGTGCTTTATTTTGTTGAGAAATAACTTTGAAAATTATTCCCCTAGCATTTCTAGCTGCAGCCTTCTTAGACAGATGTCGCTCGGCCTATAGCCAGATGGCGGCCGGCCGAACAGCTCGCCCCTCTGGGTGGATACCATATGGCGTCCTTTCTGGAACGTGCATTGCACATGCCCACAGGGCCGAGCTGTAGTGAGATCTGTCACCGGCCGTGTACTTCGGACACGGCAGATGACAGATCTGTGTACAGGCCCCATTGCAAGTACCATGTGACCTGCTGTGACCAATCACAGCAGGTCACATGACAGTTGTATACAATGGATGGCTTCCTTTCATGCCATCCATTGTATACAAGTGAGTCTAGCTGTGAATGGTCACAGTGATCACATGCACAGGCTGGGCCAATCACAGCCCATCTGAGCCATGTGATTAGCCGTGGCCAAATCACAGCTAATCACACAAAAAAACCTTGAAGGAATCAATTTCATTCAGGTAAATGCTTGCTTATAGCAAAGTAATTCTTTGCTATAGGTAAATTTGTAAAAGAAAAAAAATACTGATCGCTTCCCCAAAGTAGTACAATGTTACTATGGTATCATTATACTACTTTGGTCATAGTACAATATGAAAAACAAATCTTAAAAAAGAGAACAAATGTAATAAAAATAAATAACAAATTTTTTTTTTTAAAAATGAAAAAAAGATCAAATTTTTTATAGTTTTACAGTTATATGAGGGCACTGTACTGCACTGGTGACAGTATGTAAAAAAAAATAGTGAAAATAATTTTTTTAATTTCTTAGTTTTCTGAAAAATTATGACAAAAAAATTACAACTTCAAAAAACTCACTATGCCTGTTATGAAATACGTCGGACTGTCTACTTTGCAGAAAGTGGTCATTTGGGGGATATCTGTACTGTTCTGACATTCTTGGACCTCAAAAAATTAGATTGGCTCTCAGTACTTCAGGATTGATAAATTTTCAGATATATTCCATAGTTAGTGAACTCTATAACTTTCCTATAGACTAAATAATAAATACTAATTTAGTTTATTTTCACCAAAGAAATATAGCAGAATACATCTTGGCCTAAATTTATGAAGAACAATTATTTATTTGCAAACTTTTATAACATTGTAACACTTTTATAAAATTGTTCTTTATGAAGAACAATTATTTATTTGCAAACTTTTATAACAAAGAAAAACGTGTTTTTTTTTAAATTTCAGTCTTTTTTTGTTAATTTAGCAAGAAATAAAAACCCCAGTGGTGATTAAATACCACCAAAAGAAAGCTCTAGTTGTGTAAAGAAAATGATAAAAATTTTAGTTTGGGTACAATGTTGTATGACCGCGTAATCATCATTCAAAGTGTGACAGAGCTGAAACCTGAAAATTGGCCTGGGCAGGAAGGGGGTAAAAGTGCCCTGTATGGAAGTGGTTAACCGCCTCCCGCCCGCCATATAAGGTAATGATGGGCACAAGGCGGTTCTCTCGTTCTGGGAGGACATCGCATGACGTCCTCCCACTCTAACTGTGCATGCGTGGCTCCAGGGGGGCGTCCCTCAGACACAGCGGATCACTGATCCATGGAAAGAGCCGAAGATGTCAGCTCAGTCATGTGATCAGCTGTGTCCAATCACAGCTGATCGCATGTAAATAGGAAAATGTTGGTTATCGGCATTTCTCTCCTCACAAGTGGTCATGCTGACTGCTCGTGAGGAGTGGAGAGCCGGTAATCGACATTCCTCAGAGGGGACATGTACACTGATCATCAGGGCACTGATGATCAGTGTGCCCTGATGATCAGTGTAGCCCCAGCAGTGCCACCTGTCAGTGCCCATCAGTGCCACATCAATGCCACATATCTGTGCCCATCTGAGCTGCCTTTCAGTGTCACCTATCAGTGCTAGTCAGTGCCACCTATCCATGCCAGTCAGTGTCACCTATCAGTGCTGCCAATCAGTGCCGCTTATCAGTGCCAGTCAGTGCCGCCTATCAGTGCCAGTCAGTGCCGCCTATCAGTGCGCTGCAGTGTCCCCTATCAGTGCCCGTCAGTGCTGCCTATCAGTGCCGCCTAACAGTGCCACCTAACAGTGCCAGTAAGTGACGCCTATCAGTGCCATATATGAGTGCTGCCTTTCAGTGCCCATCAGTTATGCCTGTCAATGCCCATCAGTGTCACCTACCAGTGCCCATCAGTGCCACCTATCAGTGCCCATCAGTGTAGCCTATCAGTGCCCATCCCTGCAGCCTCATTAGCGGACATCAGTGAAGGAGAAAAATCAGTTATTTACAAAATATTATAACAAAAACTAAGAAAAAACTTTTTTTTTTAATTTTCAGTTGTTCTTGGTTTGTTTAGCAAAAAATGAAAATCCCAGAGGTGATTAAATACCAACAAAAGAAAGCTCTATCTGTCTCAAAAAAATGATAAAAATTTCATATGGGTACAGTGTTGCAGGACCGCACAATTGTCATTCAAAGTGTGACAGCGCTGAAAGCTGAAAATTGGCCTGGGCAGGAAGGGGGTATAAATGTCCTGTAGGCAAGTGGTTAAAGTATAACTAAAGGCCACATTTTTGTATTTCGGTCTGGACAGAGTGGAGAGGAATTAGAACATCTATCAGGTCCACCCTATAGCAAGTACTGCTACAGGGCAGTACGGGTGTGCAAAATCACGTATATATACATGATTTGCATTTCCGGGTAGGGGGCACGTGTGAGGCGCGCGCGCGCACCCTACTCGTGCCGCCATTCGTGGCCGCAACTGTCAATCACCGGGTCCCGGCCGGTGGTTACTCACCGGCACCCAGTGATTGCCGAGCATCTCCGACTGGGGGGGGAGAACTGTTAGTAAACAAATACAAAGGTATTGGGATTTTTGTTTTAGCAAAGGCATGTCGCAGAATACATTTTGGCCTAAATTAACTTTTTTACTAGACATGTTTAATAGCAAAAAGTAAAATATATTGTTTTGTTCTCAAAATTGTCAATCTTTTTTTTTATAGCACAAAAAATGAAAAACTAACAGGCAATCAAATACCACCAAAAGAAAGCTCTATTGGTGGGGAAAAAAGGACGTAAATTTCATTTGAGTGCAGCATTGCATGACCGTGCAATTGTCAGTTAAAATAACGCAGTGCCGTACTGCAAAAAAATGTCCCGGTCAGGAAGGGGGGTAAATCCTCTGGAGGGTATGTGGTTAATCTCCCTTTTCCTGCAGTTCTACTTTAAGTAAGGGCTGATGATTCATTTACTTCCTGGAAGCCATCTGCCCCTAGCTCAGGTATTCTGGCAGGAAGGTGTGCTTAGCTAGAAAGCGCCCCCTACTTTCCTTCAGGTGAAAGAAAAAATGCATACGACTCCTGGGATGTATAACATCATTTTGGTCTAGACCAGAAATGAGGAAGCAACTGAAAAATGTAAAAACATGTTTACAATCCAAGCAAATATAATATAAATTCCTATCTATTTATTAAGGCTAGTAGCATAAGGATTAACAATAGTTAATGCTGATTGAGAGAGCAAAGTTCCACTTTGCCATACACTGCCATACACTCAATCAGACTTAACTTTATTTTTTTGTTCCTCTATGGAGGGTCCACCATAGGGCAGATAATACAGCATTTCACTGCCCAGCATGCCAGTGGAGTCCTAATATGAACATTTGGTAAAGAAATAATGTAGACCAGGAACAATGGTAGCTCCAGCAAAAACTGCATTTAAAGAGAAGTGTGTGTTTTTTCCCCCAAAATCATTCTTACCTAGGAGGATGCAGCATCAGTCCAATGCTGCATCTGTCCCCCGCAGGGGGACTCTAAGGGTGAGAACTCATCACGTGACCGCTGATCGCTGAGTTCTCACTGCTGCTGTGAGCAGAGACCGGTGACTGTCAGCCACTGGAGCCCTGGGCTGTGGAGGGGGAGGGAGCAGCTGGCTCAGGCTTTCAGCAGATTGCTGGGAGGATGAGCCAGCTGCCACACCAGACTCTGGAGTGGATCCCACCTGTATTGTCGGGATCTTTCCCCAACCTGGACCGGCTGAGTGACATCAGCCAACAGCAGGCTTCAGTCCACTGTCAGCTGAAAATGGGTCACAGGAATGCAGAATGAACTGCAATCCTGTGATCCACAGGAGACGTACAGCCAAAAGAGCTTTGGATATACTCCTCCTTTAAATTAAACCTGTTGTGGGAAAATATGCAGCCTGCTAATGATGACATCTTCTGAAATACTAGCTCCCTTGCTGTCATGCTAATCCAACTTCAATATTTTTAGAGGTACTAACCTGGAATAAGTATGCACATCAGAATTTATGACCTCCCTCTTAATTTCAATCATTATGCTTGTTTCGGATCAATGACTTAGGCCTGAGACAGCCAGGCAATTAACACCCTTAAATGGAGGTCAGCAATCACAGTCTTTTTATTTGTTTTGCTATTGGCTTTGTTTAACCACCTCCTGCCCGCCATATAGTCCAATGACAGGTTCAAGGTGGTTCTCTCGTTCTGGGAGGACGTCATATGACGTCCTCCCATTCTCACCGTGCATGCGCGGCTCCAGGAGCGCGCAGCGCAGCGATCAGCGGTGGTGTGCTGTGTCCCTCGGACACAGCGGATCACCAATCCACAGAAAGAGCCGAAGACGTCGGCTCGGTCATGTGATCAGCTGTGTCCAATCACAGCTGACCACATGTAAACACGGGAATGTCGGTTATCGGCATTTCTCTCCTCTCGAGCTGTCACGCTGACAGCTCAAGAGGAGAGGAGAGCCGGAAACCGGCATTCCGCGGAGGGAACATGTACACTGATCATCGGGGCACTGATGATCAGTGTGGCCCCAGAAGTGCCACCTGTCAGTGTCCATCAGTGCCAGCTGTCAGAGCTGAACAGTGCCACGTGCCAGTGCCCATCAATGCCACATATCGGTGCCTACCAGTGCACATCAATGCCACATATCAGTGCCCATCTGAGCTGCCTTTTAGTGTCACCCATCAGTGCCAGTCAGTGCCACCTATCAATGTCAATCAGTGCCACCTATCAGTGCTGCCAATCAGTGCCAGTCAGTGCTGCCTATCAGTGCTAGCCAGTGCCGCCTATCAGTGTCCATCAGTGCCGCCTATCAGTGCCAGTCAGTGCCGCCTATCAGTGCCGCCTAACAGTGCCCGTCAGTGTCACCTAACAGTGCCAGTCAGTGTCGCCTATCAGTGCCAGTCAGTGCCGCCTATCAGTGCCATATATCAGCGCTGCCTTTCAGTGCCCATCAGTGATGCTTGTCAATGCCCATAGTAAATGCCCAAGTGTCATAGTAAATGCCTTTGTTAGCAAGCCTGGAAATGTCATTGAACCTGTTTCTGTTAAAGCGTGACTATTAAACATACTAACATATATATATGTACACAGTTGTGTTCAAAATAATAGCAGTCAGACATCACTAACCTGATCAATCACTGTTTTTGGTAGAAATGATATTTCTACATGGCAAATAATTTACTAGCAGGTGTAGCAGAGTAATAGAAATCCAACAGACCCAACAGTCATGACATGCATGCTGCTGATTCTGTGTAATTGAATCACTAATTGAAAGGGGCATGTTCAAAATAATAGCAGTGTGGACTTCTATTAGTGAGGTCATTCATTCTTTGAAAAACAGGTGGCAATTATTGCCCTTATTTAAGGAAGGAAGGAAGGCAGCAAATGTTGTATATGCTGGTTACAGTGCATTTCTCTCTGAAATTCTGAGGAAAATGGGTCGTTCTAGACATTGTTCAGAAGAACAGCGTGCCTTGATTAAAAAATTAATTGGAGAGGGGAAAACATATAAAGAAGTGCAGAAAATGATAGGCTGCTCAACTAAAATGATCGCAAATGCTTTAAAATGGCAACCAAAACCTGAAAGACATGGAAGAAAGCAAAAAACTACCATTCAAATGGATAGAAGAATAGCCAAAATGGCAAGGACTCAGCCAACAATCAGCTCCAGGAAGATCAAAGAAGGTCTAAAGTTACCTGTGAGTACTGTTACAATTAGAAGATGCCTATGTGAAGCCAAGCTATCTGCAAGAAGCCCCCGCAATCCCACTGTTGAAAAAGACATGCTGAAGAGGTTACAATTAAAGATCTCATTGACTGGCCTAAAGAGAAATGGCGCAACATATTGTGGACTGATGAAAGTAAGATTGTTCTTTTTGGGTCTAGTGGCCGGAGACAGTTTGTCAGACGACCCCCAAACACTGAATTCAAGCCACAGTACACTGTGAAGACAGTGAAGCATGGTTGCGCAAGCATCATGATATGGGGATGTTTCTCATACTACGGTGTTGGGCCTATTTATCGCATACCAGGGATCATGGATCAGTTTGAATACATCAGAATACTTGAAGAGGTAATGCTGCCTTATGCTGAAGAGGAAATGCCCTTGAAACGGGTGTTCCAACAAGACAATGACCCCAAACACACCAGTAAACGTGCAACATCTTGGTTCAAGACCAACAAGATTGACGTTATGATGTGGCCAGCCCAATCCCCGGATCTTAATCCAATAGAAAACTTGTGGGGTGACATCAAAAATGCAGTTTCTGAGGCAAAACCAAGAAATAGAGAAGAATTGTGGAATGTAGTCCAATCATCCTGGGCTGGAATACCTGTTCACAGGTGCCAGAAGTTGGTTGACTCCATGCAACACAGATGTACATCACTTCTCAGAAACAGTGCTTATACAACTAAATATTAATTAAGTGATTCAAAGGAAAGCAAAATCTTCAAACATTTTTCAGTTTATATAGTGAATGTTTGAGTTTGTAAAGAAGAATACAAACACTGCTATTTTTTTGAACAGTCTAATATTCACTTTTCTTCAATTTTTTTAGAGGAACAACACAAATTTGATATATTTTTCTTCATGTTTTGAATTGGAATAGAATGTGTAGTGTTCCCAATGCATGTGTGTATGGAATTAAAAGCTATTAGAAGGATTTTGAGCTTTATTCTCTTTTTTCAACACACTGCTATTATTTTGAACACAACTGTATGTATA